CGAAAGAGTCTCAGAGTGGTTTACAATCCCCCTCCTCACAACAGACAGGGTGTGAGGTAGGTGGGGCTGAGAGAGCTCTGAGAGAACTGCCCTTGAGAGAACAGCTCTGAGAGAGCTTGTGACTGACCCAAGGTCACACCAGCAGCTGCATGTGGAGAGTGGGGAATCAAACCAAGTTCTCCCGAAATTAGAGTCTGCACTCTTAATCACTACACCAAACTGGCTCTCAGGTAAACCTGTGGTGTATGGAAGAAATTGTTTTTAAACAATGTGCTCATTTTAAAAGGCCTCCTGTTAGTCAGAGCTTCCGGCCATGTTGAATGATTACTATGAGATTTTTTTGCCATAACCTCACTCTCTGACGTTTTGAAGTTAGCTCCGCCTCCAGGGTCAGCCATTTTGTGGTTGCTTCCCCTACTCTTTCAGAATTTCCCAAGGTGCCCACAGGCTCAAGCAGTCCGGGGACTCCTGTTCTGTCCCATAAATCCCTGTAAGTGGAAAACAAAACACAGCAGGGCGAAAGTTTTTCCATCCTTCTCTGCACTGGGCCCATTGTGTATTTGTATGGAGCAAATTTTTCTTTTTAAAAACAGGAAGAACTCGAGTCACCCACCTGGTATCTGAAGCGGTACATTCCGTCCTCCGACTCAGCATTCTGTCACCTCATTCGCCTGCATGTGTGAACCCATGAGTCCTCTTGCTGTAGGAAGGCCGTTTCCTCCCATCTTCAGGGATTGGGCTGGTTTCATTTCAAAGGGCCTTCAAGTTACTTCATAACCAGTGGTTTTATTGGCATCGGCTTATCAATACACCATATTTTATCTGGCTTTTGAACACATGAAACTGCCTTATATTGAATCATAGAGTTGGAAGGGACCTCCGGGGTCGTCTAGCCCAACACCCTGCACAATACAGGGAACTCACAAATACCCCCCACTAATGTTCCCTCTAAGCTATGGAGTCTTGTGAGCAAAAATTCTTCTTTGTGAGCTACTGGCCTTAAAGTTGTGAGCAAGTTATTTGGTTACTGCATCAATTGGTTTGCTCTGGAGCCATCCTTTCTGAGCTAAGACAAAAATGTGTGAGCTGGAGGCTAAAAAACTGTGAGCTAGCTCACACTAACTCAGCTTAGAGGGAACACTGCCGCCCCCACACCCCTCATGCTTGTCTTGATGCTTTTAGCAACGCAGTCCTCAAAATCTCTTTTTTAATGCCAGATTATCCATTCTCTAGCCTCCCCATTTGCTGTCGGAAGTGCCTAGGGGGAGAAGGGTCCAGCACCCAACTTACAACTTGTTAAAAGGTGTGTGTGTGGGGGAGATGATATCTTGCCTGCTCTCCCCGCAGAGGCAGGACGTGCTGCTGTACAGCTGGGTGTGTGTGTGTGTGTGTGTGTCCATTTTGCTTTGAGTGTCTGCTCCAAACGGGCTGACAGTACTGAATCAGATCCTTGGTCCACCAAGTCAGTGTTGTCCACTCTGACCGGCAGTAGCTCACTAGGGCAGAGGTGTCGAACTCATTTATTATGAGGGCCAGATCTGACATAGGAGAAGAGATTGGATTTATACCCGGCCCTTCACTCGGAGTCTCAGAGCAGCTTACAAACTCCTTTCCCTTCCCCTCCCCACAACAGACACCCTGGGAGGTGGGTGGGGCTGAGAGAACTCTGACACAAACGGCTCTTTTTCAAGGACGGCTGTGCCAGAGCTTGTGACTGACCCAAGGTCACATCAGCAGGTGCGAGTGGAGGAGTGGGGAATCAAACCCGGTTCTCCTAGATTAGAGTCCGCACACTTAACTACTACAACAAACTGGCATAAATGAGACCTTATTGGGCCAGACGTGTGTCATAAAACGTAATGCCAGGTAGCGGAGATATCAACCTTTATAAAGGACACAAACACAAAGGTGTTTTTTTTACTTAAAATAAAAAACATGCTTAAAATATCAGCACTCTTGCAATATTTTGTTTATTTAACAGTGTCTTGGTAACTGACACCTCTTGCTCTGAATGATTGCATCAAAATGCCTGTGCTACTGCTGTTCAGGTGTGCATCTGTAAGCTGCAAACCTACAATGACGCAGCAGCAGAACTGGAAGAAGACAGCCAGTTTCACTGCGGGCCTGAACCGCCCCCCGGGCCACACATTTGACACCCCTGCACTAGGGTCTCAGGCTGAAGTCTTTCCCATCACCATCTGATCCTTTTAACCGGAGATGCTGGGGGATTAAAACTGGGACCTTCTGCATGCCAGGCAGACGCACTGCCAGCGAGCCATGGCCCCTCCCCTGTATCTTCCTAGATCACTGTTTTGATATCATTTTGCTAACTGCCTCAGGAAGGGACTGAGGTTTTAAAATCAACCGCCCTATATTATCAATGGACTGGAAGCTGAGAAAATGTGGATGACTCCCCAGCTGCTTAATTATCTCATGGCTGAGGGAAGATTCCAGCCACAATTTCCCGAGCTTTAGTTAGATCATTTAGCTACCAGCATCATCAGTAATAACCTGCTGAGACTGCAGAAGCCGGAAAAGGTCCCAAAAACCTTTTCCCTGCAATATTCTTAGCACTGGCCTGCAAAGAACAGATGCACATTACTGTTTTATCACAGGCCATGACCCTTGAGGCAGAATTTGGAGTGTTACTTTTAAGCACTGCGCACTGCACTGCTAAATAAGGAATAGCCACCAGGTGACTTCACCCAGCCTTGCATCAGGGAATTCCACATGTTAAGACTGTTGCCTGTTTAAAGGTAAAGGCTCCCTTGCTTGAAAGCCATTCGAGTCCGACTCTAGGGTTGCGGTGCTCATCTCCTTTTCCAAGCCGAAGAGCCAGCGCTGTCCGAAGACGTTTCCGTGGTCATGTGGCCGGCACGACTAAACACTAAGGCGCACGGAACGCTGTTACATTCCCACCGAAGTGGTACCTATTTATCTACTTGTAATGTCTTGCTTTCGAACGGCTAGGTTGGCAGGAGCTGGAACTAGAGACGGGAGCTCACTCCGTCATGCGGCAACTCGGGTCTTGAACTGCTGAACTGACCTTCCACAGCCTGCAGTTCAGCGTCTTAACCCCTTGAGCCACCGCAGCTCCTGTTGCCTGTTTACACTACCATTAAAAGACAATAGAGCCTATTGATGGTAGCTCAAGGCTTTGTTGTTAGTGGAACAGAACCGCTGGATCCAAACCCAGAGAATTTGTTCATAAAAGCAGCAACTTTACCAGGTTTCCATTCTCAGGTTCTTCTTTATCTACATATATAAGAACATCATCAGAAGAGCCCTGTTGAGTCAAACCAGTGGTCTTTCTTGTCCAGCATCCCATCTCACACAGTGGCCAACCAGTTCCTCTGGAGGGCTAGCGGCAGGGCACAAAGGCCGCAGCCTTTCTCTGACGTTGCTTTCTGGCACTCGCATTCACAGACTTATTCCCTCTGCAGTTTCTACCGAGTCACCGTGGCTTCTAGGCACGGTAAGCATCCATAAAACCACCTTTCCCCCATTCAAAAAGATTTTTATTGTGATAACGCCACCAAGTTCTACAGGGGGGAGCAAAAAACGGAAATGTAACATATTCTAATGCAGTAAGTGTTAAGTGTACCGACCCAGGCAAGACCGATCTTGTCAGATTTCAGAAGAAGAGATTGGATTTATACCCCGCCCTTCACTCCCCAAAGGAGTCTCAGAGTGGCTTACAAACTCCTTCCCCTTCCCCTCCCCACAACAGACACCCTGTGAGGTGGGTGGGGCTGAGAGAGCTCTGACACAAACGGCTCTTTTTCAAGGACAGCTGTGCCAGAGCTTGTGACTGACCCAAGGTCACATCAGCAGGTGCAAGTGGAGGAGTGGGGAATCAAACCCGGTTCTCCCAGATTAGAGTCCGCGCACTTAACCACTACACCAAGCTGGAAGCTAAGCTAACCAGGGTCAGCCCTGGTATTATTTGGATGGGAGACCACCAACAAAGTCCAGAGTCGCGTTGCAGAGGCAGGCAAGGGCAAACCACCTCCGTTCGGCTCTTGCCTTGAAAACCCTGTGCTGGCTGTGGCTTTCTGCTATCACCAATTCAGTCCATAACAAAATCAAGTTATTTAGATGGAGGCAACGGCTAGTGGACGTTCCAAGTCATTTACAGCGTGATTCAGACTGTACTTTATGGAGAAGAAGAGGAGATTGGATTTATACCCCGCCCTTCACTCAGTCTCGGAGCGGCTTACAAACTCCTTTCCCTTCCCCTCCCCACAACAGACACCCTGGGAGGTGGGTGGGGCTGAGAGAGCTCTGACAGGAACTGCTCTTTTTCAAGGACAGCTGTGCCAGAGCTTGTGACTGACCCAAGGTCACATCAGCAGGTGCAAGTGGAGGAGTGGGGAATCAAACCCGGTTCTCCCAGATTAGAGTCCGCACACCTAACCTTAACTGGAGCTTTAACAAGCCCTGCAGTGACCACCCACCCTGGGGATCCAATTGGAGTGGAAAGGCATCACATAGATGTCTTACATAACATAGGGTTGCCCTTTCTTTCAGGCTCATTCCAATGACAAGGAAGGGGGAAATGATGCATCAGATCCAAAAACACCTCTCTTCTGATTGCTCAGCAAGATTATAAAGGGGGGAGTGAAAGAGAGAGAGAGAAGTGAACTACTGAACAGTTAACTTTGCAGGCTTCTACATTGTCCGGGCCAGGAAGAAACCATCTCAAATAGCACCAGGGATGTTCCCTCCATAAGGGTATTAGCACTGCCGGTTTCGAATATCGACCACCCAGTTCTCCCCCCCCCCATGCCTCCTTTGCACATGAATAACTCCTTGGCTCACTCTCGAAGATGCAATTCAGGCCGCACTCAGCTGGACTTGGAGGCTGTCAGCAATTAAGTATCAGCCTGTTGCCAAGGATCCAGAGTCCAAGGCGAGATGGCCCCATCTGCTGCCAACGGAGAGGATCTTGCCGCCGGATCGCTGGCCAAAGGAGCCCGGGGGGGGGGGGGGGGGGGGGGGGGAGGTGTGCCTGCAAGGCCCGATCTTCCGAGGGGTGGAAAGCAAGACAAAGCCGGTCGCGTCTTATTGGTACTGTTTTAATTCACATTTCTGCCTCACTCCACTCAGAGGCGAGAGAAGATAAGAGCACCTGTTAGAAGGGCAAGGACATTAATCGCTAAAAGAGGAGGGGAAGTCGTGGGAGCAAAGTGGGAATTCTCTCTAAAGACCTGGCGCCACTTCAACTTCGTTGCTAAAAGAGCTCTCCTGATCGCTTTCCTGATGTGACCCTCCAACCCTTCCCTTCTCCGAAAACAGATGCACACACTGAAAATGCAGCGGGGGGCCTTCCTCCTCTGTGTAGTGGGTATCCTACTTTTCCAATCAGGCTCCCCGCAATCTACTATAAGGCAGGTATGACTGATTCTTGTGTGGCAGCCTCCATATTCCCACCGTCTCCACTAAATGAAAAGGGCAGATGAATTGAAACAAACAAGAGGCCACACACCTACCCCCATGGAGGAAGGCTCTAAGGGACCCATGTGACAACAGAAGTTCGTAAGTGCACGGTGAAGAGGGGGAGGGAGACACGCAAGGCATGACCGCCCATTCGACAGAAGAAGGCGGTTGGTGAAGAAGACGTTTTCCCACTTTCTCTGGAAGGTTGTCTTCTCCCAGGCAGCTGGTCGCTGCAAAGAAGAGCCAAGCCCAATGCCACAGGCCAGGGCGCACTCCAGCTTCTCAGATGGGGCACTAGCTGTCCACAGCTCTTTCTGGACAGTCAAAGGGATTCTTTTACCTCCCAGCTATTCGGCAGCTTTCGCTTGGAAGAAAGGAAACTTCTGAGCCTTTCAGCAAGTTGTGGAGGAGGAAAGCAAAGAGGAAACTAACATACCCAACCTGGGGGGGAGAGAGAGACTACGGCAAGGGATCAAGACATGGGTTATAGTGCAGGAGAGTCGGGTTATCAGAGCTGAAGGCCTCTCCACCCCCCAACCGGTCTTCTATTGTGCTACTAAAGCTGAATCACCACTCGGCCCCCCTCAAGTGCTTCAAGCCCACTGGGACAAAGGGAAGCCAGGAATCATGGTCAGGTTAGTGGCCGCCAAGTGAGCGTTTTTAATGTCTCTCGACTTCTCTGCAGGATTCAACGGCCGGTCGCCACGTCCAGCCGCTCCCAGCCGAGAGGGGGTAAGGGGGAACGCGAGGCCTCTGAGCCAGTTACGATTTTGATTTGGCGACAGCCAAGCCAATCAAGCCGGCCAGCCCGGCCACACCCAGCGCCATGCCGCCGACGATCGCCATGCCAACCAGGCCATCTGCAGAAAGAACAAAGGCGTCAGCCTAAGGTTAAGGACTGCAAGGCTAGAGGGGTTTTTTTGGGGGGGGGGGGGTTACTGCACACCGCAAGAAGAAGCTGGAAAGACCAGGCCACCAGGTTGCCACGGTAACCAAAACATCACTGTAAGCACCCAATTGTGGCCCCTTCCTGGCCCACCCCAGTCTGGGTACATGGCTTGGTACCAGCGACCAACCCTCTTATCCGCAACAGCTGAAAAACAATTCCCTGGCCGTGGCTGAGGAATACCAGAGATGTTTCAAGGGAGGATTTGATCCTGCTCGGAAACGATGGGCAGGTGCTGCGGGGCGTCCGACAGCCCCACCACCGCTCGCTCCCACTCATTCTGCCGGCTGACCTTTCTGCATCGCCTTGTTGATGAGTTTCTCCAGCTCCAAGGCCTGCGTGTTGGTCGGCTCCGTCTTCAGCAGCCCCCGGATGTACTTCAGTGCTTTCTCATACTCCTGCCACAGAAAAGGGGGGGGAGAGATGCAGCTGTGTTTAGAATTTGTGATCTGGGGCACCTTCTTCTATGGAAAGCACACACAACCGGGAGATCGCCGGCTTACAAGAAAGGCGGCCGGGGGAAGTGGCAAGGGGATACGGCGAACGGTTGTAGAGTCCAGAACAGAGAAGACAGAAATTATGGGCTCCAAGTCGCTGGGTGGTAGATTCAGGACAAAGAAATGCTTTCTGCAGGTCTGTCTGGGCGAGACGGCCCCCAAAAGGGGTTTTACCTACGCTCCTGGGGAAAAGGGCCCGACGGTGGCATGATCAATGGAAACTTCACATACCAGGGGTTGAAGCTGTCACCGCCCACACTCCGAGAGCTTCCCGGGCACACTGGCCAATTTACTGCCAGGGAAAGAATGCTGGACTAGGTGACCCTGGCGGTTCTTGAGCCAGGGAAATGGGGGAGGGATCGGACTCAGACAGGCGAAGATACGCAAGAGGATCCTGCTCTCCCTTCTAGCCCAAGACTACGAGTTTTGGAGCCCAGATGGGAGAGAGAAAATATAATACACCTTGAGCATTGTAGTCACAGAAACGTGGGTGGCAAAGTTGGAAGGGGCCATTACAGGCCCACTGGTCCCACCCCCCTGCTCAGTGCAGGATCAGTCTAGAGCAGGGGTGGCCAAACTGCAGCTCGGGAGCCAGTTTGGTGTAGTAGTTAAGTGCGCAGACTCTAATCTGGGAGAACCAGGTTTGATTCCCCACTCCTCCACTTGCACCTGGCTGGATGACCTTGGGCAAGCCGTAGCTCTGATAAGAGCTGTTCTTGAAAAAGAGCCGTTTCTGTCAGAGCTCTCTCAGCCCCACCTACCTCACAGGGTGTCTGTTGTGGGGAGGGAAAGGAGTTTGTAAGCCGCTCTGAGACACCTTTGGGTAGTGAAGGGCGGGGTATCAATCCAATCTCTTCTTCTTCACATATGGCTCTTTCACACGTATTGGACGGTTCCCGGCAGGGCAGCTGGGGAAGCGAAGGGGAGGCATGCTCCCCCCCCCCCCCCCCCTTTTTTTTTTTTTCTTTTTTCCCCCCCCCCTTCTTTCCACCTCTCTCTCTTTTCCCCTCTCCCTTAGACAAATACCATTAGCAAACAAATAAATATAACGGACAGATAAATATCATTATCAACATCTGTTTTTACCCCTTTTATTTTTAACAGTCTTCATTTCATGTGGGGGGGGGGGAAAGCAAATCTGCACATTTTAAAATAAAACATGTCCCATTTGTTCATCTCTCGCGGCTCTCAAACATCTGATGTTTATTCTATGCGGCTCTTTTCTTGAGCAAGTTTGGCCACCCCTGGCCTAGAGCATCCCTGACTGGTGTTTGTCCAGCCGCTGCTTAAAGACCGCCAGGGAGGGGGTGCTCACGACTTCCCTAGGTAGCCGTTTCTACTGTTGCACAACTCTGGCTGAAAAAAAGGGTTTCCTAATGCCCAGCCCGCACCCTCCTGCCAATGCCACTAGTACTCACGGCCAATGTTCCCTCTAAGCTCCGGAGTCTTGTGAGCAAAAATTCTACTTGGTGAGCTACTGGCATCAAAGTTGAGAGCAAGTGATTTGGCTGCTGCATCAATTCGTTTGCTCTGGAGCCCTCCTTCCTGAGCGACGACACACAATGTGTGAGCCAGAGGCTAAAAAACTGTGAGCTAGCTCACACTAACTCAGCTTAGAGGGAACACTGCTCACGGCAGACAGCCACATACCTACATGACGAGGCTGCCACAGCATCTCCTTCATGAGGGACAGTGGCTTGGCCAAAGTCACCCGGGAACGTCCCCCCCTTGGCCACCCACGTTCAGACACAACTTCTATCTATTCCGCCACAAAGAATCCACCTACTCGCTGCGCGCACGGGCCCCCATCCCTTGCGCCACTGCCTTCACCCCCTTGTGAGCCAGGGATCCGAGTTCTTATCTACACACCCAGCGAGTGAGGAATTATGATGTGCTGCTCTCGCAGTCCATAAAGAGTGCTGATAACAGGCTCAGCCAAGACAGATACGTCCCGGTGCCACCCACGCTTCGATCGGGTTTATGAAGCTGGGATTAGCTGCAGAGATAAGGAGGGCTGAACTAGGGGGGGGGGGGGGAGAGGAGGAGGAGGATGTGGGAGGGAGGGACTTTCACCTCTGCTCTACCAGGAGAGCTGACTTCTTTTCACTTGGTTGAGCATTGGTGCGTCTGGAGGGAAGAACGCAGACATGCACTGAACAAACAAGAGACACGGGCCAATTTCTCCCTGCACTATTGCCACTGCAGAGCACATCTGCCCCCTTTACTCTTTGATAAGATATCGGATTTTTACCCCGCCCTCCACTACCCGAAGGAGTCTCAGAGTGGCTTACAATCCCTTTCCCCTCCTCTCCCCACAACAGACACCCTGTGAGGTAGGTGTGGCTGAGAGAGCTCTCTTGAGAACTGCCCTTGAGAGAACGGCTCTGAGAGAACTTATGGCTGACCCAAGGTCACACCAGCAGCTGCATGTGGAGGAGTGGGGAATCAAACTGGGTTTGACTGAACCTTATGGGGGAAAGACAACGTCACACACTCTCAGCACCAGCCAATCTTGCCGGGGAAGGATATTTGCTGTTTTATTATTTGTGCGTGTTTTTAAGCGGATGCGAATGCCTTTTTGAGGCGCTGCAGTGGCTCAAGTGGTTAAGACGCTGAACTGCAGGCTGTGGAAGGTCGGTAGTTCAGCAGTTCGAGACCCAAGTGCACCGCATGACGGAGTGAGCTCCCGTCTCTAGTTCCAGCTCCTGCCAACCTAGCAGTTCGAAAGCAAGAAATTGCACATAGATAAATAGGTACCACTTCGGTGGGAAGGTAACAGCGCTCCGTTCGCCTTGGTGTTTAGTCATGCCGGCCACATGACCACGGAAACGTCTTCGGACAGCGCTGGCTCTTCGGCTTTGAAACGGAGATGAGCACCGCAACCCTAGAGTCGGACTCGACTGGCTTTCGAGCAAGGGAACCTTTACCTTTACTTTACCTTTAATGCCTTTTTACCTGTTTGCCACCTTGGAAGGCCCTCGCTGGGTGGAAAGGCAAAGCGCAAAAGTTTTAAATAAATCTGGCCAGGTCTAAACATTGGTTTCCCACAATGGAAGAGAAAAGGAAAGGGGGTGATGGTCACCAGGTTCCTCGTGTCTTGCTGCAGAGCCCCGCATCCCACCCCCCAATGATGTCCGGGGGTGCCCCCTGACAGCTGTTAATTAGGACCGAAAGGGGGTGTGGGGGCTGTGTGGGGGGGTCTTCCACTCCTCTTGGAGCTCTGCTCGTGCCACTCCCGACTCAAGCCGATGGCCACTGCCATGCCAAAGCCATCGGAGATCGCGCTCACTAAGGAAACACTTGACTCTTCAGAGCCGGATTAGAGTCCAGTAGCACCCTGGAGACTAACAAGATTTCCAGGGCAGCCCTGACCTAGATAGCCCAGGCAAGCCCGATCTCGGAAGCTAAGCAGGGCCGACCCTGGCAAGTAACTGGAAGGGAGAACTCCAAGGAATACCAGGGCAGGCACACAGAGGCAGGCAATAGGAAGCCCACCACTCTGAAACGTCCAAGCCCCCCTAGGGGTTGGAAGAAGTCACCTATGACCTCCAGGCATATACACACACGCACACACAAAATACTCACCAATTTTCCCCCCTCAGGGTATAAGCTTCTAAGAGTCACAGCTTCCTTCCCTCATCAGATACTCTGGAGTCTTATACCCTGGGAACTCTGTCAGTCTTTTGGGATGCTCCCAGATTCTGATCTAGGTCTTCTACTGCAGCCCAGCACTTGAAACTATTTTAACTTCTCCCATCACTGAACCACAAAGGTAAAGGTAAAGGTTCCCCTGCTCGAAGGCCAGTCGAATCCGACTCTAGGGTTGCGGTGCTCATCTCCGTTTCAAAGCCGAAGAGCCAGCGCTGCCCGAAGACGTTTCCGTGGTCATGTGGCCGGCATGACTAAACACCAAGGCGCACAGAACGCTGTTACCTTCCCACCGAAGTGGTACCTATTTATCTACTTGCAATTCCTTGCTTTTGAACTGCTAGGTTGGCAGGAGCTGGAACTAGAGACGGGAGCTCACTCCGTCATGCGGCACACTTGGGTCTCGAACTGCTGAGCCACCGACCTTCCACAGCCTGCAGTTCAGCGTCTTAACCACTTGAGCCACCACAGCTCCACAAAGAACCACAAAGGAGCCAGGCAAAAAAGCTAGGTGGGGAATTCTGTGGAACCATCTCCACAGGGGGACAATATAAACTGGAGGGGAAGGGACCGGCAACATGCAGTCCTGGACCACGGTGGAGGAAACGTTACGGTAGCCAGAGAGGGGTGCAGGAGGACTTGCCAGGGGTTGCTAAGAAAGGCGGGGAGAAGAGGGGAAGACAGCTCAGGGCCCCCCCTCCCTGCCCACGACACTCCTCTAACTGACTGCCCACCGGCCAACCAAGTTGCCGATCAAGAGCCGAAGTGGGACAAGGTCACTGGTCGGCGGGCTCACCTTCAGCCGGTAGTTGGCTACTCCGAGGTAGAAGACATAGTCCCGCTGCTCTTCCTTGTTCCCTTTTGACAACAGATCTGAGGGCAAAGAGAAGTTTATTTATAGCAATTCCTAGCAGCTACTTTCAAAAGGAAAAAAAACCTCAAAGATTGTGGTGCGTGGGTTTCCCCACTACCTACTCGAGAAGCAGAAATAAACCTGCTTATGACTACTCGAGAAGCAAAAATAATATATATATGTATATATATCTGAGCAAACAAATTCGCGAGTGAAGAGCAGCCCCTCAAGGACGCCTGGCGATGGAATGCTGAGCGGCCTCGGACTTTGCCGAGAGGACCAGATCTGGAAAGCACAAAGGTTACTCCTGGCTGTTGACAGACGGCCATGGAACAGATGGTGGAAGAGGCATGCCTAGCGGCAGAGGCATGCCTAGCGGCTCAGGGGCTTCCTACGTCGTAAACACTACCATGCCCAAAGGCTCACTCCTGAATTCGTTTCTCCAGTCAGAGTAGCCACCAAAGTCTCTTTGGAGCCACCCCTCAGTCTTACTTCTTTTTTTTTTTTAAGAGACTTTTTATTTATATGCTGTACCGTTAACAACACAATTATCCCCAAATAAAATAAACTGTAGTAGAATCACCAAGCTGAAAAGAGCACACAATCAATACAATTTGACCCAAGTTAAGAGATCCAGCAATTTTCATGGGAGATTTAAGCACAGACTTTACAATGCAATCCTTAGAGTTATACCACTCCAAGGCCGGGTTCAGGTGGGTAGCTATGTCGGTCTGAAGCCACCGAACAACGTTTGAGTCCAGTGGCACCTTTAAGACCAACAGGCATAAGACCAAATCCACCCCGAATTAAACTTTGTTGGTCTTAAAGGTGCCACTGGACTCAAACGTCGTTCCATTCTGAGGCCAATGGCCTTAGAAGGCTGCAACTCTGTTCAGGCTTGTACTGAAAGCTTGTCCCATTTAAAAATCAATGGAATTTCAAAGTGCTCAGCTTCGACTGGATCATGCCTATGGCCAGAGGTCATTTCGGGGGGGAACGCGGGGGATCGCAGTTCCCCCAGGTGAGGTACGGGGGGCGGGGCACATGACGAAGCCCCGCCCCCTGCTTCCGGCCGCCCCGCTTCCGGCCCTCATTCAGCCAGGAGGAGGCAGGAGAAGAGGGAGGGTAAGTTGCTTCCTCCCTGCCTCTCCCCACCCCTGCCTGCCTGGGGCCAGGGAGGGCCTTCGCGGGGCTTCCTCGCACTCCCGCTGGCCTTGCAGATCCACCGCCGGGCCCCTGATGTCAGGGGGTGTGGCATATGCTAATGAGTTATGCTAATGAGTTCCCCTAGCTCTTTTTCTACGAAATGACCCCTGCCTATGGCACTCTCTGCCACTGTTCTGACTCAGGCATAGAGCCTCTGCATTTTTCATTCCAGCATAGATCCTGGAACACTCACAGCTCTGGGCCACACCAAAATGTCGAATACCTGCCCCTGCCAGGGATTCAGCTCCTGCACCTCTGCTACAGAGGTCCCACCAGCAGAAGAGTGAGGGCCAAGCCCTGTCGGTCCACTGTTCCCCTTCCCACGAGAGCTCCCCTCTGGCCCCGGCCCTTCGCCCTCTGCTGTGTCCCCAGGGAGGAGGGCGGACTATATGAAGCCGGGTCCCTACCCACTCTTGCAAACATTAGCCAGACTAGAAGAATGGAGGGGTGGAGAGAAACACCCTCAGGCTGAGTGGGCGTGGCTGAGGGACACCCGCACTATTTAGCCAGTTCACTGATTCCCCCCCCCCCAACACAGTTTGCACTCCCGGCTTGTCTCAGTGTTCTTCCACCTGCCTTATTACAAGGGAAACACCACTGTGTGCTGCATCAGGAGCATTTGTGTCTTTTGTGCTTCTGGGGAAACTGAAACAGCTGGACGCATGCTGCCGCATGATTATCTTAGCTGCATAGATTTATAGATATATCTTTATGCCTGACCTGGATAGCCCAGGCTAGCCCGATGTTGTCAGATCTCGGAAGCCAAGCCAGGTCGGCTCTGGCTAGCGTTTGGAAGGGGGACCTCCAAGGAATAGAAGAGATTGGGTTTATACCCCACCCTTCCCTTGGAGTCTAAGGGCGCCTTACAAACTCCTTTCCCTTCCCCTCCCCACAACAGACACCCTGCGAGGTAGGTGGGGCTGAGAGAGGTCTTTGAGGACTGCTCGTGAGAACAGCCCTGAGAGACCTTGTGACTGACCCAAGGTTACACCAGCAGCCGCATGTGGAGGAGTGAGGAATCAAAACCCGGTTCTCCCAAAATTAGAGTCTGCACTCTTAATCACTACACCAAACTTGCTCTCAGGTAAACTGTGGTGTATGATAAGTGTCCTGAGTGATAACAGGAATGGAAGGAGAAGGAGAAGAAGAGATTGGATTTATTCCCCGCCCTTCACTCGGAGTCTCAGAGTGGCTTACAAACTCCTTTCCATCCCCCTCCCCACAACAGACACCCTGTGAGCAGTGTTCCCTCTAAGCTGAGTTAGTGTGAGCTAGCTCAGTTTTTTAGCCTCTGGCTCAGACATTTTTGTCTTAGCTCAGGAAGGATGGCTCCAGAGCTCACTGATTTAATGCAGTAGCCAAATTGCTCGCTCACAACTTTAATGCCAGTAGCTCACAAAGTAGGATTTTTGCTCACAAGACTCCACAGCTTAGAGGGAACATTGCCTGTGAGGTAGGTGGGGCTGAGAGAGCTCTGACGAGGACTGCTCGTGAGAGAACAGCTCTGAGAGAACTCGTGACTGACCCAAGGTTACACCAGCAGCCGCAGGTGGAGGAGTGGGGAATCAAGCCCGGTTCTCCCAGATTAAAGAGTCTGCACTCCTAACCACTAGACCAAACCGAATACCAGGGTTGTAATGGGGGGGCGGGCAAGGGCAAACCACCTCTGACCGTCTCTTGCCTTGAAAACCCTGCAGGGGTCCACCACAAGTCATTGACGACTCAAGGGCAACAACAACAAAATCCTTTATTACACCCATCCTCCCAAAAAATACCCGGAAGATGGGAGGAATGGCAGACCTCCCTTTTTTCGGGCAGACCTTGAATCTGGGACTTCGAATGGCGTCCCCAGATTCTGCGCAGCTGCCAGTCTGCTGAGGTACAGGGTTGATTTAGGGCCACGCATTTGCTTGTTTTATACCCCTGAATGGAAGACAGGACAGAATATCCTTATCACTCTGTTCACGCGTGTTTTATCCCGCTGGTGCAGGACCATGATAAATGGTTGATGGACTGACATTAACGAGGTAGCGGTGCGGTGGCACAGGGGATGTATCCTCTGGTTATAGTAACATCTGAGCTGAACAGAACGGCTGTCAGTTCTAGCCCCGTGCTGGTGTGAGCTACCAGCCTTGTCCCCAGCTCACCGTCCACCCAGCGGTTCGAAAGCTTTGGCGAAGTAGATAAAATGGGTACCACTCCCTTAGAGAGGGTGGGCACACTAAACCCCTCGGTGGGGGAGGTGTTAGCCGGCAAACAGAATGTCCAGCTCGTAAGATCGGAAGCCTAGAAAGATCTCTTCGGCATCAAAAAGCCTATAATGGGCCGTTCCGGCCAGGCGGTGGCAGTGCAGCATTGCAAATCGAATCAGACCTGGAGAAAGCTGATGTCATCAAGCCAAGCTGAGTGAAATGCCGGCTGGACCATGTCTAGTCTACAGCTGAACAAAATCCCTGTCGGCTGCGAACGTGTGCGATTTAAAGATTTATATATGTTGTCCTCTCTTACCCCCATGAATCAGTTAGTCCCTTGTGAAATGAGTAACTGTAAATCGCTCAGAGTCAACAGCTCTGCAGGATTGAGCGATTAATAAATTGAAAGATTATTATTATTATAACGAGGAGCAGCTCTCCAAAAGCCTTGGGCAGGAGGTCTTCCCCGAGCCCGTCTTCCTTAACTGGAAGTGCCAGGGATTGAACGGGGCACCTGCATACCAAGGAAGGCAAGGTTGAGGCAGAGAAAGGATGTGCCTCACCGAATGCCAAGAAAATAAAAGGGTCTGTGTTTTCGAGAGGATGTTTTGACAACTGCTTTGTTACGGAGTGGAATGCTCAAAGAAGCTGGGCGGGGACCCTCAGAGGGACTCTGGGAGACGGCTCGGGGGCTGCTCTGGTCTCACGCTTACCTTCCAGGAGCACAATGCCCTTCTTGATGTCCTCGTTGTACTTGCTGCGGACAAGGCACCAGGCGTACTCGAACTTGGTCCCTTTGGAGACGTTGCCGGAGCTCAGCTCGGCGTTGTACTTCTTCTCAAACCTCTGCAGGGCATGCAAGAAAAAGGGGTTGGGGGGGGAGAGTCGTGGCAAGTCCCGAAATCGGGATTCCCAGCTGACCGGCCCGAATGGCGGAGAGTCGACGTGAGTCCTAAGAGAAGGACCCCCAGTCGATCGGCCCTTCCGTGCTACTCTTGAAAGAGGAAGGAGACACGTACTCCTCCCTCGCTTGCTGACGTGGGGTTTTGGAAACAATACGCCAGTGGGGTCGACTCGCCACCATCTTTAACTACTTTTTGCCATGTGGGGAGAAAGGCAGGAAGGCTAGGGGGTTGAGATCAGTGTTCCCTCTAAGTTGAGTTAGTGGGAGCTAGCTCACAGTTTTTTTTAGCTTCCAGCTCACACTTTTTTGCCTGAGCTCATGAAGAATAGCTCCAGAGCAAACTAATTAATGCAGTAGACAAATTGCTCACTCACAACCAGTGTTCCCTCTAAGTTGAGTTAGTGGGAGCTAGCTCACAGTTTTTTTTAGCTTCCAGCTCACACTTTTTTGCCTGAGCTCATGAAGAATAGCTCCAGAGCAAACTAATTAATGCAGTAGACAAATTGCTCACTCACAACCAGTGTTCCCTCTAAGTTGAGTTAGTGGGAGCTAGCTCACAGTTTTTTTTAGCTTCCAGCTCACACTTTTTTGCCTGAGCTCATGAAGAATAGCTCCAGAGCAAACTAATTAATGCAGTAGACAAATTGCTCACTCACAACCAGTGTTCCCTCTAAGTTGAGTTAGTGGGAGCTAGCTCACAGTTTTTTTTAGCTTCCAGCTCACACTTTTTTGCCTGAGCTCATGAAGAATAGCTCCAGAGCAAACTCATTTATGCAGCAGCCAAATCGCTGGCTCGCAACTTGAATGTCGATAGCTCACAAAGTAGAATTTTTGCTCACAAGACTCCACAGCCTAGAGGGAACACTGGTTGAGATGCGGTGGAGTTATGCTGCTGAAGAGGCAAGTCGCCTCTGTCTCTTCCAACCCAGACCAGCTGAACCTCCTACAGCCGACCTCCCACACCCTTCTGCCACATCAGAATCACGCAAGCTGAATGTAAGAGCAGCCCAGCGGAGCAGATGAAAAGTCTGGGTGCTTCAGAGACCCCTTTTCCACACCGGCTGACCAGATCTTTATTTATTTATTCATTCTGATTTATATTCCGCCCTCCCCGCAAGCGGGCGCAGGGCGGATCACAACAGCAGCTTGACAACTGTCATTAAGACAATCATTAAGACAAAACGGCACAGTGATTTAAGACAGGTAGCACCATAACTATGGCCACAGTGGCTTAGAGGTTAAGACGCTGCGCTGCAGACTGGAAGGTCTGTAGTTCGGCAGTTCGAGACCCGGGTGCCGTGTGATGGAGTGAGCTCCCATCTCTGGCCCCAGCTTCTGCCAACCTAGCAGTTTGAAAGCAAGAAATTGCAAGTAGATAAATAGGTACCGCTTCGGTGGGAAGGTAACAGCGTTCCGTGCGCCTTGGCGTTTAGTCATGCCGGCTACGTGACCGCGGAAATGTCTTCGGACAGCGCTGGCTCTTCGGCTTGGGAACAGAGATGAGCACCGCAACCCTAGAGTCGGACTCGAGTGGCTTTCGAGCAAGGGAGACCTTCTCCTATAGCATTATAACTAGAAAGGTGTCATAATCTCCAGTGACCGAAGCAGCTAGGGAATAGCCCCCCAAGATATGGGGATCTTCTGAGTCTGGGGACTGTACAAAGATGGAAAAGATTCGGCAAGGGAGGCCAAATAACTGGGCACCCACCGCTTCACCCAAAGGCCTGGCAGAACAGCTGTTTTGGAATTACTTAAGAGCTCCCACACTACTTACTGTGCCGCTCGCGCCCCCAAGCAATTAGTAATAGAAAATCATACTCCATCTGAACCTGGAGATTTTATTTAGTTAGCAGACCTGTCCTCCGCGAGTTTGCCTAACCCACCCCCCACAAAGCCCCCCCCCCATATTGGAAGTCATCCTATCGTGCAGCATTGCCTTTCATGAACGAACTACTGTGCGAAAGACTTGTTTTGTCATCTGTCCCGAAACAGAGTTGGGGAGACAGGGATACTCTGCCTTTATAGGTCTTAGTTACGATTTCATTTGCACTCAGCCAGAATGGTGGAGTGGTCACAGGGTCGGACTAAGAGCCGGGAGAACCAGGTTCGAATCCCCAGGCTGCCATGGGAGCTCACCGGGGGATCCTTGGGCTGGTCTCTCATCCAACCAACCTACCTCACAGGGCTGTTGTGTGGCTAAGATGGAAGCAAGGGAAACGATATAAGCCGCTCTGGGGAGAAAGGCCGGGTAGAAATAAAAAGTAAATCAAAAAGGCTGCCTCGAGGACAAACCAAGATCAGCTAAGTCGGGGAATATAGCCAGGGCCGAGGCACCAACTGCCGCACCTCCCGTTCCCCGAGAAACCGCTGGCACCCTGGCACTAGAGAAGAGCCAAACACGGGACGAGGTTCCAGGAAAAGCTTGATCCTTTTAAGCTCATAGAAGCGCTGCTGCGGCCGTAAAAGCTTGGCCTGTGGAGCTGCTGCTTCCTCGGCAGCCGTTAAACGATCGGGAAAAACTAGCTTTGTGGTCTGAAGAGTCTGAGGGTATCGCCTGACTCAAGGAAGCCAGGTCTGTGCTAAAAACCAACCTGGTTTCTACTGGCAGGTGGAAGACCCCCACCCCACCCCGGGCCATTTCCAAGTGGATTGGATGAGAAACCAGCAGGGGACAGAAACGGCGGCAAAGAGGGCAAAGAGGAGAGGCGCAAAGGACAAAAGGAGGATGCGTTCCAAGTACACTGCACAGCATTGTACAAAGAGGCGAGGGAAAGGACTGGAGGATGCAACGTGTTCCCCCGCCATCTTTCCCAAAAACTGCTGAATGCAGTGAAGGTACGAGGTGGACCGAACACGAGCCCCTCTGCACAAGGAACCCAGAGCAGCAGGGAGCGCAGAGCACCACAGCCCATAGCTCCTGCGCAGTGTTCCCTCTAAGCTGAGTGAGTGTGAGCTAGCTCACAGCTTTTTAGCCTCCGGCTCACACATTTTTGTCTTTGCTCAGGAAGGGATGGCTCCAGAGCAAACTAATTTATGCAGCGGCCCAATCACTCGCTCACAACTTTAATGCCAGTAGCTCACAGAGTAGAGTTTTTGCTCGCAAGACTCCACGGCTTAGAGGGAACATTGCTCCTGAGGACCTAATTTCCCGTCATTGAATTATCTGGTCCCCTTTTAGCAGCAATCTGTGCCGATAGCCATCACCCCAATCTCGTGGCAGTGATCTGCGTGTAAAGTCATGCGTTGCAGCGAATGCCAGTGTTTCGTTCAGTTGTCCACGCAACATCTGTAAGGGGCAAACCCAGGGAAGCAAGGAAAGAATTACTTGTCTTTCCACTTTCCTTCTACCAGGGGTCTTGAGGCAGCACACAGGGGGTGCCCAGTAAGTCTGATCCTGTGCCTTCCAGCTATATATCCGTGAGGGCAGACCTCACATCCAGAGAGCTGTCTGGAGAGGCCTACTCGCCCGTAAACATCCTAGGCTGGCTGGATACGGTGCTCACACCTCCCTTGTTTATCTAGGCTGAGTCCTTCGCTGTGCCCCACAACTATGACCGAAACCAGGCTTTTTCAACTAAAAAAAAATAACAGAACTTCGCACGATGGCTTTATCCTCTCCCCGTTGCACGACTGACATCAAATCCTCCTCCTCTAAATCAAACTCCCTGGTAAAGAGCACGCCATTCCCACAGGATGAATCGCTCCAAACAGGAACCGGCTCCCCAGCTATTGCCAGCCGGATCTCGTTACAAAGCGTTACACAAGAACCACGAGAATTCACAAGGAAAACCAACAACACACCGGCCTCCTCCGTGACCACGCTCGGGCTGCCGGAAACCAGACACTAATCTTTTTGTTCCCCCTCCACCAACGGGGAGATGGTTGCGGGCGGTGCCACTCGCCGCAGAAGGCCTCTGGGTTTGGTACAGCCCCGGAGGGTCAAAGGGATTCTCTGCTCGGCATGCCTATTAACCACTCGCCCTTGACGTCAGAAGAAGAATGCTAATTGCACCCTGCTTAATAATGGACTCCAAAGCGAACTTAGAGACATTGGGGGGGGGGGTTTTTTACCAGGCAACAGCGAACGTAAGTTAACCATTAGCAAGGCGGGGTTGAACTCTCTGAGGGCCCAAGGATGGCCCAGGCCAGCCAGAGAGCTGTCCAAGTGGGCGTGACTTCTCACAAGCCTGCTCGAAAGGCCGTGCTTACCAAAAACAGCAACTGGAGGAGGAAACGTCATCCGCCATAAAGCAGCCCTTTCATTCTGGCTGTTTTCGTTTCTTTAAGGGAAACAGAAATCTTGTTTGAACAACACGGCGGTTGCGACACCACTCTCTCGATTGCCTGGAAATGCCAAGAAGAGTCCTCCCGCCCGCCCTCTTCGGGGTCCAGATCCTTCCGTTCACCGGGAGCGGCAACGAGCTGCACCGGGAGCCGACTCAGCCCGCCCAGAGGCAAAAAGGGACTTGTCGGCAGTAATCTTTGGGCACGGGCCTGACCCCAATGGCGCTCGTTACCGATTACAGCAGGGGTCCTCCAACCTTTCGGAGCCTGCGGGCAGCTTTGGAATTCTGAGATGGTGGGGGGGCACAACCACAAAATGGCCGCCAGAGGAGGCGGAGCCAGCCACACACCCAGAGGGAAGTCCAAGCATAGAGGAGAAGAGGGGTAGTTTTAAAACTACACTGGGGAAGAGGAGTGAGAGATTAAAGCCAACGTTGGTGACTTGCTGAAGCCACCATAGTTTCATATGCACAGCCAATCGGGTTTCCAGTGGCCTATCGGGAGCTCCCGTAGGGCAAGGGCCCCACCTGGCTCCACCCACTTTCTGAAGACGCTTGGTGGGCATCAGAATTGGGGGTCTCTGGAGAAACGCCATTTTGGTGATGTGTTTAAGTTGCTGTGGGCTGAACAGGAGGAGACTGTCAAACTGGAGGTAGGC